ATATGGTGCCCACCCTGCCAGGGTGTCATCCAGGGGTCTTTAGGTGCTTCCTCCTCTGCGCTCCCTCTGCAGCCCTCCCCAGCCCCGTAGCCGGGGGACCATCCTGTTTGCTCTTTGCTGGAGGGAGAGGAAGCGCTTAGCAGGGCCCCGTCCATCCAACCTTACCACGGGGCACGGGCCATCTCTGGCCTGCTTACGGGGCCTGGGCACCGCTGGTGGGAAGTGGTTGCTCACCCGTTGCTACAACTAGTGTTTGCCGGGGGACCATCCTGTTTGCTCTTTGCTGGAGGGAGAGGAAGCGCTTAGCAGGGCCCCGTCCATCCAACCTTACCACGGGGCACGGGCCATCTCTGGCCTGCTTACGGGGCCTGGGCACCGCTGGTGGGAAGTGGTTGCTCACCCGTTGCTACAACTAGTGTTTGCAGGATGTGGTTTCAGAAGCTCTTAAAAACACACCCCAGTGCTCATTCCTCTTCCTCCCTCCCTCCCCAAGCTCCTAGAAGATGACTTCCAGTTCATCCTTTGCGAGGGCTGCCGGCAGGAATCACCCAACCTCAAGCTCCTCACCTGCCTCCACACCTTGTGCCTCGGTTGCCTGAGCAAAAACAAGCCCCTTGGGCAGTGCCCCGTGTGCCAGACAGCCTTCCCGCAGGCCAGTGACATCCCCGACACAGACAACCTGCTCTTCGCCAGCCTGCAGGCCCGGCTCAAGGTCTACAAGAAGATCGTTGATGGAGTTGACTTGTTCTGCGACAACTGCAAGGAAGCCAGCGAGTTCTGGTGCTCTGAGTGCGAGGAGTTCCTCTGCACCAAGTGCTTCCAGGCCCACCAGCACTACCTGAAGAGGGAGAACCATGAAGCCAAGATGCTGATGGACATCAGGGCAGGGTCTGCTAAGGACTTCGTCAAGGGCACCAGGAGGACCGGTCATTTGTCCTGCTCCAACCCGACCCACACGAGCGAGACTGTAAGGTAGGTCTAAGGAAGTCTGTCCCCATCTGCGTGGTTTCTTGTCACAAATCTCTTTGGGCTAGTCCAGGATGGGACTGAGCAGGGCGTCCCTGTCCCTCTGCTGCCCTGATTGCCACCGTATCATGGCGAAGATGGGTGGGAAGTCGTGACTGGTGGGCTGTAGGGCATGGAGGGAGGGTTTGGATGAAGCCGGGTTGATGACGGGAGAGTGGGGACAGGGTAGACCGAGGGAGGGGAGTGTGTGTGTGGCTCCTTGCTAGGGTAAGGAGGGTGAGGTTGATGGAGCTCAGCAAGAAGAAGGCCTGTTGCTTCAGCTGCTGTGATGGACAGCAGAGAAGGGGAAGGGTGTGTTTTGCTGATGGTGCTAGGCCAGCTTGGAGAGGATTTGGGGAACAGCATGGGTGCAATGCAGGACAAGGTTTAAATGCCCTCAGGGGAAAGCCCAAGTGAGAGGGGAAGGGGCTGGAGCATCCGTGGAGGCCAGCACTGATGCTAGCCACGATGGCCCAGATGCCTCAGCGTGTCCCTAGCCCACCACTTGCCAAGGCTACCAGGACTTATGGGAGGGGTGGATGATGATCTCCACTCCCCACTCCTTATATTCTTGCCTTAGGCACCTTATGGAGATAAGATACTCTTTGATCTTACGTTCTTATACGTAACCCCAGGAAGCAATCCTGGAAGGGCAGAGAGCTCATTTCTTCACTGCCTGTGCGGCGCGTGGATGAATGTCTACCGTACCGCTTGCAGAGTCACCGCAGTGACTTTAGGCAGCCCAGCAGAGGAGCAGAAACCCTGTGGAGATAGTGAACCAACATATTTTTTTGCAATTGGGAGAGTATAGAACCAAACGCCTGGCCCAAACTTGGTGGCAACTTAAATTCAACGAATGAATGAATTTGCGAGATGATCAAGGAATTAATTGCAAAGTGCATGGTCTGAATTACTGCTCTGCTTGTGCTAGGCCTCACAGCACCTACTGCGGGAAGTGTGAGAAGCCCCTGTGCTGCTCGTGCACGCTGCTGGACAGCCACCATGCCCCCTTCTGCGACATCCGCAGCGAGACCCAGCGCAGGCAGGAGGAGCTGGGCATCATGAGCCAGGAGCTGAAGCAGAAGAGAAGCAGCTTCGAGGCCACCTACGCGGCGCTGCAGGATGAGGCCGTCCGGCTGGAGCAGGTGCAGCAGGAGATGCGGGAGCTGATCCGGCAGCGCGTGGAGCAGCTGGTGCGGCTGATCCGGCAGGAGGAAGAGGAGCTGCTGGGGCTGGTGGAGGCGCAGCAGGAGCAGGGCCGGCAGGAGGTGGTGAGGGAGCTGCAGCGCGTGGAGGGGGTGCTGCGGCGGATGGAGGCGGGCGAGCGGCTGGTGGAGAAGATGAGCCTCTACGCCACGGAGCAGGAGGTGATCCCCTGCGCCAGGCGCTCGGTGGGGCAGCTGCAGCAGCGGCAGCCACCAGCGACCGGGGACCGAGCGCAGCCCGGGGACTTGGCCGAGTGCAGAGCCAGGCTGCAGGCGCTGGTGGAGCGCGTCACGGGGCACCCAGGTGAGCAGCCCCTTGGCCAGGCGGGCTGGGGAGGGGGGCACCGAAAGCGGAGTTGAAGGTTATAATCCCTGGTTAGACCATATTCTCCATGGGTTTCAAGTCTCCTTCCACGTGGTGACTTGATGGACCTATGCCTCCAGCCTTTGCTCGTGCGGTGGGCATGCTCCAACCTCGCCCGAGGATGGGATGCAGTTGTTGCATCCATCACTTCCAAAGCAACGCTTGTCTCTTGCCCTTGCGGAGCACGGCGGTCCCCCACACGCAGTTGTACTGGGAGGGAACATGGTGAACCGCTTGGGATGGAGCCGTGCCATGGGTTGAAGGACAAGGGAGGTGAGTGGCACCTGGAGCCGGGGCGTGTGGAGCCGGGGCTCGCAGAGGCTGGTGTTAGCAAGGAGGAAGCAGATGGAAGGGTTGGATCGACTCTGCATCCTCTCTGAGGAATGTTTGTGCTGGTGACATGCGCAGGTCCCTCAGGGGCCATAACCGTCCTCCAGGCCTTAGTGTCCTGCTGCCCACTGACCACTTCTGCTCCTCAGACCTCCAGCCAGTTTGTCTTTGCTCAACCTTTGTTCACAACCATCGGGGGCAATTCCCCTTTGGGGTTGTTAATTACCGCCTTGGGATGGCATATCCAACCGGGAAGGTGAAATGTTCCCCGGGAGCACTCCCCGACAGGGATGGCAAAAAGGTCCACGACCGCTGCTGGGTTTGCCCAGGTCTTCCCCCAGCTCTTTGGCAGCAACGCTGTGGCGGAGCTGCTGGTGGTTTGGGAACGGTGAAGGCCTTGGCATCTGTGACGTGTGCAGGGATGGTGTGCTGGAGGATCCAGGTTTGGTCAGAAGGTGGTAGCATCCTTCCAGAAAATGGGGGGGAAGAAAGCAACGGGAGGAAGAGACTTTGCGGGGTGTTCTGCTCCATCCCCCTGCTGCTGTCTTCAGACCTGGGCTATGACCAGTGTCTTCCTTGGCCCTCTGTGGGCGTCCACTACTGAGCTCCCCAGGGAGAGCTCACGGGCTGTGGACGGTCCGTAGAAGAGCCCGGGGTGATGCCCCGGATGGAGCTTGGGGTTTCCTGGGGACAAGCTGCCTCCCACCCCACTCCTTGCATCTCCATCGCGTGGTAGGCATCATCCCTCCGTCTCCCCTCTCCACCCCACCGAGGCAGGCTGGGAGGACCCTCTGAGCCCTGATTCTCCCCGCTTGCTCCCTTCAGCCTCCCTCCCTGTGACAGGTACCTCCACTCCCCAGCACGACTCCCCGTCCGAAGACGAGACCACCCTGATCCTCGACCTCGAGCCTCCCGGGGAGCATTGCCAACCGCACGGAGGTCTCCCCGCGGGGCTTCCCGCCCACCAGCAGCCCTGCGCCCCTGTGTCAGACTCCTCCAGCGGCAGAGGACGCGTGTATCCAGCAGACCAGGGAGGGGATATGTCCCCCACCCAACCCATGCCTCCAGCCCTTCTGATGCAGAGGGATGAAGAAGCAAGGGAAGGCTTGGGGTCAGCCCATGGGGACGCTGTGCCTCTTCCCAGGAGCATCCAGGACTCTCTGGCCTCCCTGCAGGAAGATTTTGGTGGCTGGGCCAGGTCCAACATGCAGCAGGCGAATGAGCTCCTGAAGATCGGCGATCGCCTCCTGCAAGCTCAGCGCAGGGCAAACAGGCACATGGTGTCCGTGACCCGGGAGATCCGGGCCATGTCCCACTCCCTGGCCACCATCGCCTCTGCTGTGGGACCCTTGCTGCAGCCTGTGGCCAGGCCATGGGACCCCCCCACCGCAGACATGGACTGGCCATCGCTGCCCTCTGACCTGCTGGAGTTATTCCCTCCCAGCACCCTGCAGAAGCATGAACTGCTGGTCCCAGCGGCTGCCACGGCCCCTTCCCCCAGCAGACCCCCTCCTGCCACCCCCCGTGCCAGCCCAGCGCGCTCGGAGCCCCCCAGTCCAGCCTCTGAGGGGGAATGCCCCAAATCAAGGCACCCCACCAGGGGCAAGCGTGGTGGGAAGGCCAGCACCAGGCTTCAGAAGCGGAGGAAGAAGTGAGGGTCTGCAAACCAGAATGTTTGTCATGGGCTGCAGCTGCTTGGAAAACCCTTTCAAGGTCCCTGTGGAGACCAGGCTCTCCACCTCACCTTGCTATAAGGACAGCCAATAAATCCTCCTGGGATGAACAGTGCATTGGTCTTTTCCTGGGTTTGGGAAGGCAGCACCCCCCCGCGAACGAGCCCTCGCCACTTCATGGCAATAACTTGCTCGGGAACAGCATGATCCTACTAATTTTCTTTTTTCTTTCCTTCCCAGCACATGTGACCTCCCTGGCTCATGGGTCTGGGATGGGCGGGAGGGCAGCAAACCCGTGCGGGGAAGCTGGAGGAAAGGCTCTAGTGCAAGGATGGGTGAATGAGCTGGCGGGTGGCCGGGCAGAACGGGCACCTCTCCAGCCCAGCCTGCAAGCTCACTGCTGGCTTTTGGCCTCAGCAAGCATCTCCGAGAGGTGACCCTCCCAGGAGGTGGCCCCAGAGCCACCTGCACCTTCTGCAGAGTCTTTTCTTGCTGCTCTCAGACGTCTCCGGCTTTGCTCGCCCTCCTCTCAGCTCGCTGTGTTTTTCTTCTTTCAGAAGCCACCCCAGGTCCAGCCATGGAAAACTCCCACCAGGTGAGACTTGGTTTTGCTTGCGTTGCTCTGGGATTTTTGCCTCGTGGGGTTAGCCGGCAGGAATTTGGGGCTACCCCCAGGCCTTGCAAGGTTGCTTGAGCTCTGGCATTTGGTTGCTGCTTTCCAAGTTCTCTTCTGAAGGACGAGATCAGCCAAACTGGCTGGGCACAGGGCTGCAGAGCCAGGGCAGACTTTGTCCCTTGAAGGCACCTTCCTGGCTAAGGTGCAAACATCTCGGTGTGAGACACGCTGCTGCATGCACTGTGAAGAGCTCTTGCAGGCACGGTGGCTCGCAAGTCGTTTCCCGCCTGCACCCTGCCCTGCCCTGCCCTGCCCTGCCCACAGCTGGGGCTGGCAGGGGAGAGATGCCGCGACCGGTTGTGATGGATTTGGGGCCCCCAAACACACCTCCCACAAGAAGGGCAGAGCCCCACTCAAGCAGGAGTGGCCTTCAATGATGCTGAAGACAAGCTCTCTTCTGTTTTCCAGTCCCATAGCGCATGAAGGACTTGTCTTGCATCAGACCTGTCTGCCTTCCCCTGGGACAAAACAGCCATCACAGGACCGGGGCTGGGGACCCCCGGGCTGCCCCCCTGCAGAGCATGTCCCCAGCCCCCCCAGCCTGGGATCAGAAAGGCTTAGCCCTGCCTGCAAGCCCTGCAGAGCCTGGGAGCCTCAGGGCTGAAGCAAGAAGATAAAGAGGATTTATTCCCCCAGCTCAGGAAGGGGAGGTTCCCGTTTTCTCCTTGGCAGCCGTTAAGCGAAGCAGAAAGTTTTCCTGACCCTTGTCAGGCAGAGGGAGGACCTTGACCAAGGAGGCTGGAGTGGCCACAGCCCGGGAGAGCCAGGGGCTTCGTGCCAGAAATGAGGATGTGGTGCTGGGTGACCCCAGAGCAGCAGAGACTGTCTGGGCGAGCAGAGCACTTGCTTTGAGCAGGGACAAACCCCTGTGGTCAAGCTTGTTCAGCTGTGCTCTGGTGGCAAAGGACGTCTCCGTCCCTGACCACGCAGGGCTGCTCTCACTGGCTTCCCCTTTCCACATAGGTCTCCACCTCTGCAAAGAGGAAGAAAGTCCAAAATGCGAATGTCGTGACGCCGCCGGTGAAGGTGATAAAAGTTGCAGACAATGACAACGGGTGGAAACGGATGGTGCCAGAGCAGCCAAGCTGGTTGGACCAGCCTGGGACCAGCTGTTCGGTGCCCCCCATGACTCTTGCCAGGGAGGACAACCTGCTGGAAGACGTGCCAGATGGCAGCGATGGGCTGCACGACTCAGGTAAGCGGTGTCCAGAGCAGTGAAGCCACAGGTAGACTTTACGGGGTGTAGGCATCGGGGCAGGGCAGTTTGCAGCATCTCCATAGACCTCCCAGGAGGACAGTTATGTCCCAGCGCATTGTCTTGTTCAAAGACGAGATGTTTGGTGGAGATTGACGGAGAACCAGACTTGTTCCTGCAGCTGCTTGCATACTCTTAGGCTACCTGATGCTGCATTTTGGTCTTCTCTCCCCCATAGGATCTTGGCCAGCGTGTACTCTGTATCTGTGGCTTGAGGGGGAATCAGTCCTTTTTCAGGTGGACCCTGAGGGCAGGGTTGCTCCCTGCTTGCTCCCCACCCACCTTGCCGGCTGTCCAGGGCCACCTCTCGGCATGGTTGGTGATGCCGATCGGGGGACCATGGGCCCTGGCACCCACCGCAGGGCTGGACAGCCCCACATCCGAAAGGTGACACGTCTTTCCTCCCTTGGCAGATAGTGATATTCTCTGCTTGGACAGCTGTGAGGAGGAGAGCACCGACGAGGAGCCGATGGTGAGTGCCGCCAAAGGGCTTTCAGTGCTTGGCCCTGCATTGCTCAGTGTTTAAGCCAGGAAGACTGGACCACTTGATGCTTCCAGACCTTCAGGACCATCCCATAATCCCCCTTAGAGCCTGGCAAGGAACTTGTAAAATCCTTCCTGAGTGCCAAAATAAATCCCCTCTAGCTCTCCTCCACTTCTGGGGGAACTGGGCTGCCCAGCAGCTTGGAGACCTTGGTAGATGCCATCCTGGTGACGCCAAAGTGGCGAGCAGCCAAAATGAAGGCCAGCAAGAAGAGGCAGTCCAAAACCTCACCTCCTCTTTGAGGCTATGGATGGATGGGGTTTTGTTGTTACTTCGCGGCACCGAGCAGTTCCCGTGACAGTCTGTGTGACCAAAAGCTGGTGACCAGCTCTTCAGAAAAGGTTTTAGAAATGGGCAGCTTCCCTTCCCTGCCTGCTGTTTGCTGGGTTAGGCCCTTGGCTCACAGCCAGAGGGGAGATGTTGGGTAGCCCCAACTTTTCTGTCACTTTTGAGCAGAAAGCCGGTCGGGAAGGATCCAAGCGAGCCGTCCTGTGTGGACATGCGTGGAGTATGCATGTCACTTTGTTTTGCAGTGCCGGAGGAGGCAAGTCTTCATGACCAACCAGAGGGGCTTATTACACCCCAAGTCCTCTAGCAGGCAGTTTGAGTAGATCCCTGAGCTTTGGTAACCTCCAGGACACACGAGTGCCCAGAGCTGCTGCCCTGGTTCTTCCTGTGACATTTATTAAAAGCAAATTGTGTGCTCTTCCAGGACTCCAGTCTGCTCGATAACTTCAGCAATATCCTCGACAAGAGCTTTCCCGTCAGCAGCCAGGACACGCTGGACACGAGACAAGGGTCCCTGGTCTTCTTTGACGTGAAGATTTTGAGTAAGATCCTAGGTGGGGAGGTCCCATGTTTCAGCCAGCACAGATCCCCACATCTGTCAGGGTCTCTTTTTTTGCTGGGGGCGGTGGAAGTTCGGGCACGTCCACCGTGGCCTTGGCTGTGTAAGGAGAGGACAATATCCTGAGCTCCCAAGAGGCCTTGCCTTTGAGTTTCAGGACACCTGGAGGAACGTGGAGCCCACAGGGCCATGGGGAGATTTCTCTGAGATTGCTCAGCCAGTTAACCAGCCCTTGCGCCGTTGTGTCAACATGGTCTCCCCTGCTTCTCCTTCCCATGAGCCAATGTCTCCTGGGCGAGGTGGATTTTACTTCTCAAGCCCGTCTCCTTAGTCCACCCTCAGAAAGCTGTAAAAGTCCTCGTGTTCCTGGTGGGGGGAATGATCCCACTGCAGGAGGTGTGAGTGTTGATGGGAAGGACACTCCTGAAGGACTTTGGAGATGCTGGAAGCTGAGGGTGTGACTGAACGGTGGAGATGGCTGAAACGATGGGTCAGTCCCCCAGCTGCTGTCGATGGTGAAGGCTGTGAGGGGCTGAGCAACTCAATCAATGTTTTGTTTTCCTACTGAATAAGAGACTAATTCTGCCTTTCCTCCCTCTCCA